GTAAAATGGGAACAAATAACCACCCTGCCTGTGACTCTGAAGCTTCAGTGAGTTAAAGAGGCTAAGCAGGTGCACCTAGGTGGCTCATTAAATGCCGGCTTAGGTCATGATCTTAGTGTCTTGGGGTGGAGCCCAGGCTGTGCTCAGTAGCAAGTCTGCTTGTCAGGCTCCCTTGCCCTCTGCCCCTCCCCTTGGCTCATGCTTGCTGACTCATGCACATGCCTGTGCACTCTCTCAAATAAATAAAATCTTAATAAATAAATAAACAGGCTGATGACGCAGGCTTACCCTCACCAGCTTCTTCTGGCATTAGAATCACGTAGGGAATTACTGCCTATTAGTCCATTCTACATGGTCATATCCTGACTTTAGCTGCCGTGGAACTCCTTGCCAGGGCCTTTTCACACAGCGAAGCTTCACTGAGTACATTCTGTGGATCTGCAACAGCTTCACTGGTTATTACATGTTTAAAATAGTTGCGTCATGCCAACTAGTAGGGTATGCCTTCTATAGCTGCAAAGATCCAGACAACTTTGGGCATAGTCTCTATGAGTTCCACCGGCTACTCTCATCCCCACTTGAAAATAGAGCAGCAGCCCTGGGCAAAGCTCTACGTTTTCCAACTTTGCTTCCAATTTCTTTGTATCTTTCCTCCCAGTGATGGTCCCTCTCTAATAACCAAGGATATACCATTCATTTCACCGTGCTCCATGTTAACACTGCCCAAGCTCATATCAGCCCTTCATTCTCCTTTTTAAATGGTTTGTGTCCCAGGTTTTTGATCTGTAGCGAGTTAGCACTGATTTGTTCCATAAGGCCGGCGTTTAAGTCTTTCCCCAGCCCTTACATACACCTACCACCTGATAGCACCTAACACAGACCCTGGTAAGTAGCAGGTTTTCAGTGACTGATGAGTACAAGAGTCAATCAGGGGATGAATGAATGCACTGCTGAATGAACAGAGGAATGAATACGTTCAGGAGTCAGGAGGTCTGGTGTCCATTTAACCCTTCCTTAGCTCTGCAGCGACTGACATAAATGACTCCAGGGTAAGCCACTTGATCTCTATGCCCAGATTTCCATCTCTGAGATTTTTAGGTGGTTGGATGTCGCAAGAAAACCACTTTAGGTTTTCTTCCAGCTCAACTGAGCCCAGAAACTTTAACAAAGAGTGAAAGATTGTATTTCTTTTTCTGAGACATTTCTGAGACTTTTTCTCAGACATTTTCTGAGACATTCTGAGACAAGGCAAGCACAGGGGTAAAGATTTTTCTAAAATCACATACCAGGGATCCCTCCCTGCCAGAGAGTCCCTTGTTACCTGGGGACAAAAGGCTCCAGACAGCGGCGCCTGGGTGGCTCAATGGGTTAAGCCTCTGCCTTCGGCTCAGGTCATGATCCCGGGGTCCTGGGATTGAGCCCCACATCGGGGTCTCTGCTCAGCGGGGAGCCTGCTTCCCTTCCTCTCTCTCTGCCTGCCTCTCTGCCTACTTGTGATCTCTCTCTGTCAAATAAATAAATAAAAATCTTTATTAAAAAAAAAAAAAAGGCTCCATACAAGCTGCAGATACTGAAGACATCTCTGAGATGCTGAGCACTGCAGAGTTTGTTATCATGGGCTTCTTGCAGGAACTGAAAGTCTACCCTGTCCTCAAATGAGGTCCACAGGGACATTGGTGGCCTGCCCTCTTCTACCCAAAACTCCTCCCTTTCCAGCCTGAACAAGGTGGGTCCTGCACTCGCTTCTGGGCTCTAAATCTAACTCCTCAAGTCCTTTTTCTGCCATCTGCCTAAGGCTCCCACATGCATATTTTATGATTTCTGGCACACTTCCTCCTTATCTAACATCCTGCAATATATCCCTCTGCCCCTATATTATTTCTATTTCTGATAATGTGTTCTGAAAGAAGCAAGTGTCCTTGAGGTGTACTTTATTACTGGTGGTTTTGGCTTTCCTATCTTATCTCCCCACTTGATCCTCACCTAAATTTCTTGAGGGCAGAGGCCACATCCTCTATTCTGCTCCAGTTCCCCACAAGAACAAGGACAGAGCTGCGCAAGCAGCAGATCCCTAGAAAATACTTGTTGCATGAATAAAATAATGAATGAATGAAATCATTGATGGATTTCAATTTTTCAAATTTAAATTCATATTAATATACTTCCTGAATAAAGTTACCAGGACACCCCTTTCCGGGTATACAACCGCAACTACAGAATAAATAAAATTTTTAAATGGCACTTTAGAAATATACTATTTTCTGAGGACTGAAATAAATGTCCTTCACTACAATATGAACGAGAGCAACATTATTAGCTGTATAAAGAAATCTGCTTTTTAGGTATCCATAGCATAATAATGTGGCATGTCTTTTATTTCCTAGTAAAAGCAGATTTTACCTGGGGGGGGGGGCGGATAATCCCTTGGTGTTAATTATTCCAAATATCACTGTTATGTGTTGAAGCTGGAAAATTCAGGGAAGTCAGACAAGATATGAGGATTTTTCTCTAAATACGTTGTTTAAATCTCCTGCCGATTGGGGCAGAACACCTTTTTGGAAATACCATCGACTCACTTAGCAAAGTCAATTTCTAGTTATGTTCCTTCCTTGTGGTTTAATAAACTTCAGCTAGAACCAAACTGATTTGGAAATCAAATTATTTGTTCTCCCATGCACTTGCTAGTCACAGTTGGTCACCAAATAAAACAGCACCAATGGTCAACACAACTCTGCTGGAGGGAAAACATTATGGCTATGCCATCAAAGCTTAATGTAGCTTAATTCTATAAACCCCATCAACATCCCCAAGCCAACACTTAACCTAAACCACTTCATTATCTCTTAGAAAGCATTACTCTTGCATACAACCTATACTTATCACCACCAAAAGTATCAACATTACACCATTACGGATAAACTATGTATTAAGGTAAGAGATAATATTGTAATTGGAGGGACTTACTGACAGAGGATTGAGAACTAAAAAAGTGAGGTCCATTAAAATAGACAATTACTATTTATGGACAGGACAAATTATGTCTTCCAGCTCAAATCAAACCCTGTCAGAACACACACTACCAGGCAGGGCAGTGAGGGAAGCTGCGACATCACAGTAAAACACCAAAGGACAAGAAAAAACTCATTTTGAGGCTAATATGAATACATTTAAAGTGGAAAAAAAAAAACGCTGTTACAAGGATTTATCCACATTTATGCAACTGATGAAATCAGAACAGGTTAAAGCTAGAATGTAATTCTGAGTTTTACATCATAACCCTTCATTCTACAGAAGAGAAACTCGGGCAGGGATGGAGCCCCTTCTCCAAACTTAGGTCTCTGAAGTCCAGATTCATGTGCAAAACACGTAACGGTAAATTTAAAAATTAAAAAAGGTCATAGGCAGACAATAAACACTTGTTAATGGATTTGAGGAAATAGAGATCCACAATTCCAGAACTATCTTGGTATATTACCTGCTCACAGGATAAGCCAAGTAATTACCTAAAGTTTTGACTTCGACTTGTCCATCATAACCTAGGCTTCTTAATACTACAGATCAGCCCTTCCATAATCAATAAAATGCTATTACAACAATTATTGAAGCGTACAAGTTGGTGGTGAAACCAAAAGCTTTGGAGCATTCCTATGAAGAAGTGCATTTGAAAAAAATCTATCCACAAAGTAATATGGGTTTCCTGACACATGAAGTGTAGTTCAATGGAGAAATCTGTAAAGGACAGGTATGACTAAGCAACCACAAATAACCAGAAATACCAAAACTATCAGGAATATGGGGACACCACATGCCTGCATATAAAGATAAGGTGGAGTTTCCCATCTATTGTTCCTAATGAAAAAGAGGTCTTTTTTGTACTACCGTGTTGACTTCTTTTTAAATAAAAAGTCTCTTCTTTTTAAATAAAAAGTGGTTTTTAAGGATTTACAAATATTTTATTCCATCCTCCATCCCACCTGCTTCAGAAACAAATTTGGGGACAATCTGGTTGTTGCTGGGCAGACAACTAACCAGATCAAATTTAAACAATCAATATGGCACTTTTGATGTATTTGATTATGTATCTCACCAAGGAACCCCTTAAATCCATAGTTTAACTCTTACTAAGGAAACCAAGTCTTAACAATCATGTAAAACATGTCTTCCTCTGTGGGCTATCAAGTATATTACTGATTTTTTCCTTACAGTCCGACACCTCGCTATGTAACTTCACTCCTTCAAAAAAAAAAAAAAAATCAACAATATCGAGTAAGCAAAACAGCTTAAAATATTAGAGAGACCACAATTTATACATCCTCAAGATGAAATTGACCATGGCACTACAAGGGTAAAGAAACCAAACACATACATTTACATAAAGATGTAAAAATATTCATAGCATCCAAGGCAGGGGAAAAAAAAAAAAAAAAGACAAAACAAAATCCTAGCACGACAGGACAAACCCCGTCCACAGTTCTATTTGCGCAGGTATAAAACTAAAGAAATGTACTGGGTGGCGAGGAAGGGAGGGGGGAGAGCAATTACTACTTAAACTTGTTTCATTCAGGAGCTAGGTAGCTAACTAAGCAGCCTTGATAAAAGCTGTTTATACAAAATATAACCAGGCTGAACGTCCCAAATCAGGAAGAACTAACACTAAGGGAAACGGGACCCCCGGGGCTCTCAGACTCCCCCTTCCCCAAATTCCCGAGCCACACTACTGGAGCTGGGGGCTGCCCGCGGACTCCATTTTCCCGCAGCGCTGTCTCTCTCTCAGGGCCTGTGGGTGAGCTGGGGTCCCCCACCCACCTTTGCTCCCCGCCCTTTTCATTGTTGTGCAAGTGTGATGGATCACCTGCCTGGTGCGGGTTCCCGCGTCCGGACGCGCTGCGCACAGAGACGCGCAGGGGCGAGCGGGGCGCGCCTCCCGCAGGACCCGCGCCTGGTGCCCGCGACCCCCGGAGACCCGATCCCGGCCCGCTGCCAGCCCCCGCAGTGCTCACCGCCACGAAACCCGAGGAGGAGGCGATGAACACGCGGATCACCATCCTCTCGCACGCCGGGACGGGCAGTCAGCCCCCGCGGGCTCAGGGCTGGCGGGGACGCGGAGGCAAAACTCGGCTAAGAGCCGCCGCCGCCGCCGCCGCCGCCGCCGGGCAGAGCGCTCGGGTGGGGGAAGATCGCAGGGACCTGACTCCCTCCCGCGGGTCAGCAGATAAAAGCCCAGAGCCTCCCGGCCGCTGGCCGAGGGAGGAGGGGGAGGGGAGAAGGAGGAGGGAACAGGCTGCGGGGCCTGATGGGAGTTGTAGTTTCGTTCTCTGCCTGGAGTGCCTAGTGGACTGAGCTTTTTCCAGCCCCTCCTTACTGCGTGATAATCGCTTACCCGCGCAGGTGGTTGGAGGGGAGAGGCTAGGCAGACGCTGTGACAAGGGGTAGCGAGGATCCCGGCGAGACCGAGAAAAAGAAAACTAGGCAAGAGGGTTTGGTTCAGAGTCCAACCTTGGATTGTATGTTGTGGTTTACTGATTTGGAGCATCCCCACCCAGAAACGCCGACAGGAGGGATCGAGCCTCCGAGACCTGCGGTCTTGAGGCCGCTAGCGTGCGGGGCAAGCCCGAACCTGCGGCCGGCGGGCGGGCGGGCGGGCGGGTGGGGCGGGGTGGGGCTCTCAGCAGCGGGCGGTGGTAGGTGCTGTGGGGCTGGGCGCTCCTGTGTGCTCCCAGCGGCTCCCGAGATTGCAGAAAGGTGATTCTTCTAGTTAAATGAGACGTCTCCTTCTTCTGTAAACACTTCAAATTAGAAGCCAGCTGAGAGCACGACCGATATTTTATTTTTCTTTGCAAAACTGTAATTGTAGTAGAAAAAATAAATACCAAGCGAAATTAGAATCCTCCTGTCAACGTTGGGCATCAGGACCCCACCCGCCCCACCCGCTGCTCTACACAATGGCTTCGCCTCTGTGCCCCTTATATTTACAACGGAGCCAGATCTGGGCTTTTTTCAGAACCGATGCACATTCCAAGCGCAATCTCCCAGGAGGATGCTGTTAAATAAAAAGCTTTTATGTAGTTGCTAATAGTTTAGGAATAGTTATTTAGCAAGAGTTTTCTGTTTCACAAAAGCCCAAGCCTCTCACAGTTTGGTGGAAATGAACCAGTTTTCTCTGCAGTTACTGTATTTACTTTCTGCGTTTCAGCAGGGGAGTTTAGCAGAGTTCTGGGAACAATGTTAATTAATAGTTCTAGAAAGAAAGAAATTAGATAATGAAGCCTCTAGCTCTTTGGTTAATTTCTTGCACAGATACTAACCATCTTGGAGCATTTGCTTTTTATTTTTTTATTTTTTTTAAAGATTTTATTTATTTATTCGTCAGAGAGAGAGAGCACGGGAGAACACAAGCAGGCAGAGCGGCAGGCAGAGGCAGAGAGAGAGAAGCAGGCTCCCCACCGAGCAAGGAGCCCAATGCGGGACTCAAGCCCAGGACTCTGGGATCACGACCCGAGCCGAAGGCAGCGGCTCAACCAACTGAGCCACCCAGGCGTCCCGGAACATTTGCTTTTTAGAGCAGTTTTTAATATTTCAAGTTTATAACCTTTTCTATTATCTTATGTCATTTCTGTAGTACTCTTTTTTAATTTAGCGTGTTAACAGAAGATTCAATCCTTATGTGACTTTATTTCTTCTTATAAACAATAGCTAAATATAACCTTTGCTGTAATTAATATCTCTCTGCATAGGCACGTTAATTTGCCTACCATACATGTGGAAATGAATATTTATAAAATTTAAAATAATTTCTTAACAGTAGATACTACATTTCCTATATAACTGCCACTGTTAAAAGTCAACATTTTCTTCAGTTTGGAATTATTGATCTGTGAAGATATGGCTAAACTCAACAAATAGAAACTTAGAGCCTATTCTCTGAAAGGTACCAAAGTGAATGAGAAGTTGAATAAGTCATTTCCTCACTCAGCAAGCACCTATTGTCTGCAAAACAAAAAGACAGATACAGAAATAGCAACAGAACAAGACACACTGTACCAATAGATTGTTGTGTGGGTATAAAAGGAAAGGGGGGCTTTTTAGAAGAGACTTTGAAGATGAGTAGAATATCTGCTGGCAGATGGGGGGAATGCTGGGTGAGTCTATGCAGAGTTTACGAGATCAACAAGCAGTTGGCTGTGCTTCAAGAAAGGGTTATGAGGGGACTAATAGGAACAATGTGGAAAATGTAGGTTTGAATGAATGCAGCAGGAGACTCTCCCTGGTTGTCTGCCTAGCTCCTCGTTCTTTTGTGAAATCTGTTCAGCTCCGATCTAAGAGGTTGTAGGGGTGGCAGACCAAATCCCTATTCGTACAGCAAGACCCAGAGCTCAGTTAGCCACAACTAATTGGTCTAGGGGTGAACACCGGACCCAAGCTTGGCCAGGCAACACCCGGACCCTAAAGATTTGAAATTAGCACTGGGAAAGAAATAGAGAGTATAAGCTTTAACTTGTGACATGGAAGCTGGGAGCTTTTCAGAAGCCGTGTTTCAACATGAGAACCAGAAAAGCTGAAGAAGATAGTCAGTAGGAAGAGAACAACGAAGCACACAAAAGGAAATTAATTTCAGAGAATCCTGATAAATGTTTTTGTCCGGGGGTCCTAAAACTATGGCCTGTGTAGCAAATTGTGTGTTTTATAAATAAAATTTTATTGGAACACATTAATTTTCATATTGTCTACGGCAGAGTGACAGAAACCATATGGCTTGCAAAACCTAATACATTTATTATTTGGCCCTTTATAGAAAGCTTGCCAGTCCTTGTTTCTGGCTCAAAATGTTCCTACATCCCTACTTTTAAGGCCTACATAACATCCCTGTATCCATATCATAAATACCTCATTTTACTTAAGCATCCTGAAATAGGCTTCTGTTTCACGCAATCACTAAGAAGTTTACAGTGAATTTGTTAAGCTTTCCAAGGAAGAAAAGGTTATGATCGGAGCTATAAATTAAGATCATTCTGGCGTGGGGTAATTTTTATTCTCTGCTGGTGAAAAAGTTTATCTCTAGAACTTGTATGCAGGACAAAGTGTTAGAAGTCCAGGAACCCACAATAGCCCGTGTGGCGTTGAGACCCAGAGTTAATAAACAACATGGAAGAGCGAGTGAGAGTAGAAAGCAATCTGGAATATAAACTAGAGGTCCAAGATCAACTCCACAGGGTATCATACCACACCCATCTGACAAGTAAAGTCTGCAGATAAGGCAGGCAGCCAAAACTGAAAGACAGAACTCCGAAAATTGAGTAGGTCAATAGGCTTTAGGAAAGCTGCTCTTTCATTACCTAAGACTTGAGCCCCTTCAGAAGTCACGATAGAGTTTCTTAGGTTAGGTTTTTTAGGATAGGTTTAGGATAGGTTTTTTCTTAGCTTTATTGAGATATAATTGTATAAATTACCTATTTCACCCATTTCCCCACCCACCTCCTTTCTGATAATCATTAATTTGTTCACAGTAGTTAAGGGACTGTTTTCTTCGCTTAGCTCTCTCTTTTTTCTTCCCTTGCTCATTTGTTTTGTTTCTTAAATTCCACATATGAGTGGAATCATATGGTATTTGTCTTTCTCTGACTGACTTATTTCACTTGGCGTTATACTCTCTAGCTCCATCTATGCTGTTACAAATGACAAGATTTCACTCTTTTATGGCTGAATAATAATCCATTGTATGTATACACCACATCTTCTTTATCCATTCATCTATCAGTGGACACTTGGGCTGCTTCCATAATTTGGTTAATGTAACTAATACTGCTATAAACATAGGGGTACACATGTCTTTGAATTAGTGTTTTTATATTTTGGGGGTAAATATCCAGTAACTCGATTACTGGATCATATGGTAGTTCTACTTTTAACATTCTGAGTAACCTCCAGACTGTTTTCCACAGTGGCTGCACCAGTTTTCATTCTCGCCAACAGAGCAAGATGGTTCCTTTTTCTCCACATCCTTGCCAACACTTGTTATTTCTTGTGTTTTGGATTTCAGCCATCCTGACAGGTGTGAGTGAGCCACTATGATTTTGAAGTATAAAGGGAAAAAATTTTAAAATATTTGCAACTGTTGGAAAATATTAAAATACCTATGATTTCTATTGGTAACAAAGTCGTAGATGTTTGCTGCTATTACAGTGGCTTGTTGCCTGCAATCATAATTGAAGGAATTAGTAAATTTTTTGAAAAGATTTATCTGTTCATTTTAGAGAGAGAGAGAGAAGGCACTTGGGCACGTGAGGGTGGAGGGGCCAGAGGGAGAGGGAGAAAGAATCTCAAGCAGACTCCCCATTGAGCCCAGAGCCCAACACTGGGCTGGATGTCACGACCCTGAGATCATGACCTGAGACAAAATCAAGAGTCGGATGCCTAACTGACTGAGCCAGCTAGGCGCCTCAGGATTAGTAAAGTAAATTTCTGTTACAGTTTAATGAAAGTATAAATATGTTAATTTTTTTCTCAATTCAAGTTCATGAACTCCGTAACTTCTATCCACAAGTCCCTTGGGTAGGGTGGGTGGGCAGTTGTGTCCAAGAACCCCAGTTTAAGAAACCATAGTCTGACAGTATCCAACTGTGTAAAAGCCTAGGAATTTACCTAAAAAGAAAGTACAGAAAGAAACAAGAAGGAGCCATGAAGAATCCCCTGGAGAACTCTTCTGCTCAAAAGTTGGAAAGAGAACAAAGAATTAAAAGGAATGGAGGAACTATCAGAAAAATACAAAACGAAAAGACTACAGTGTCACAGAACCCACGAGAGGTGTTCTAAACTTTAAGAAGTAGAGAATAGCAAGAACACTGCTCAGCATGGAAGTCGGGGAAGATAATAAAAAAGAAGGCTTGAAGTCTGTTAGTTGGGCAGGCTATGTTCACATTCCAGCTTTGCCACTTAATTTCATGGACAAATTTTGCCACCTCTCTAAGCCTCCGCTTTCACATCGATAAAGTAAGTATAAATAATGACTCTCATTCACAATTGTTATGAGTGTTAATTATGCTTAGGAAAATCTCCAAATTATGCCTGAGGATATCTGTTTGCTCCACCTGGCTGCAGATGTTTGGACCAAATCGGTGTATTTCCCTCAGTGGGACCCATTGCAGCCTGAAAGCAATTTATGACAATTATGACCAGGCTTGAAAATACATGCCAGTCCTCTGTCCGGAATTCACAGTTGGAACATCGAAAGACTAAGGCAATTAGCAGTAGGAGCATGCTGCAGGGAGGAT